ACACTAATAGTATCATTGCCTATTTTAATTTCTAAAATGTTGAGCCATTGTGATGAAATAGCACTATGGTAATACTACAGGTAGCATCATAGTCATAAATATTTTATTTGATACTAAGTTTTTCTTTTTTTTTTTCCTCATCTTACTTATCTTTTTAACAAAATTGAATGCTTTGATTGTCCCAAATGTTTTTGCGTATATATTATATATATATTTTAAAGAAACATTTCAAATTAACAAAATAATAAATTTGTTCAAACTAATTATTTACTTTAAAAACTATCATTTTCTATCGATTTTGTCCGACTTGTTTTTTTTTTTTTCCTTTTTTCTTTCGTTCACTTTTCATTTGAATCATTTTGAATGTATGCATTGCACTTCGTTTATACTTTTCGCTTCCTTTTCGTAACTTTCATTACTTACAACAAATTTTTTCCATTTCGAATATTTCTTTTTTTTTATAACTCTTTTTTTTTTTTTTAAGCGTTAAAAAAAAAGAAGAAGAAGAAGATAAACGTAAGATGATCGCAAACGGTATCCTTAATAGTAGCAAGGAACCAACAACACGTTGGGATTGTTCTGATGTTGATCAGGAAATGGTTAGGATGTTTCTTGGTGAACGATTACGTTTTCCGTATGCAAGTAATGTTGTTGCGCCAAATCGAATGATGAAAAGCGCAATGAGTGAACAGGTAAGCATTTTTTTTTTCAACATTTTAAAATTTCCATTAATTGATTCATTTGTTTATTTAAGATTTAAAAGAAGTGATTTATTGGCACAATATAATGTATTTTTAATTGGAATTTGCACAATTCAAATTTTCCAAAAATTGTTTTAATCCAATTTTTCCACCATATTTATCATTTAAATGAAATTTAAACAAAAAAAGAAAAACGATGCAAAAGGCTTTCTCCTTCATTTTGCATTTTCATTTGTTAAGGAAAATGAATGATTATTTGAGAATTGGCTTATTAATCAAAAATTTTCATTCCATTTTCTATATTAATAAAAATTTGAGCAATGAGAAAGGGAGAGAAAAAATGATCTGGAATGATCACAAATTTAAAAAAAAAGGAATTAAACAATGAGGGAAGAGGGAAACAGAATAATCTAAAATTACAATGATTCTACCTTTTTTAGCCATCCCTATCGTTTTTCCTCATTTTAACAATAGTTTTGGTGGTTATCGATACTTTAATTAAGTAATTAAATTTGGTACTTTGATTTTTCATTTGAATTTACAAAATAACACAAATATCTTTTAAGGAGGAAAAGAAAAAGAATAAGATTTGGAATTTTCAGCACTAATATTTGTTTTTTTTTTTTGAAATTTAACTTCAGTATATGCTTTTGACATTGGAAATTTTCACTTCATTTGTTTGCAATACATTTTTTTTTCTTTCCAGTAAAACGAGTTACATTTTTATCAAATGACACATCACGTCCATTGTCATATTTTAAAGAAAATACGAACTTGAGGAATTAAAAAATGAATTATAGTAAATATTTATTAAATTTTAATGCTAAAACAAAAAACAAAAAATATGTAACATATTGTCACCTATCGAATACGATCATACAAATTCTTAATTCACTTTTTCTTTCTTTTTTTTTATTTTATTA